TTCTGCAGTCCGATAGATAAGCAGGAGAAACTCTGGTGCTGATCTGGGATACTGACGATACCATAGTAGACTGGTAACTGATCCACTGTAGTTACAGGAGAGTGTAACATTGTCACCTTCTGTAACATGCACTGTCTCATTAAAAGGTGTAATCGCATCCTCAGTACTGTGGCCTGTGGAGAAGATGATTCAGGGCAATATTTACCATTGATAATCAAACTAAAAGGATTTTTTCCAATTTAAATGTACAGATTAAGCTTGCCTATGAAAAGTTACACTAGTAATAATTAATAACTAAATGCAGCATGTCACTTACCCACAAGTACTGAAAATAAGAGAAATGAACAGAGTAACATCATGGCAGATGGAGAGAGACAGACTGAACTGAATACTCTGCTACCAAGGTCGGGTCTAACAGGAAACTCCTCTACTGCCCCAAAACAACACGCTTATTGTGACACAGCTTATTTTCTCCACCATCTCTGCCTCCCCCTCTCTCTTCCTCTCTCACTTTTTATTGTTATATTGTTGCTGCCTACAGTTGAACCTATTTAAACAGAGGAATATCATTCTCTGCTATCAGAATGGTTAATATCATACAATTTGAATGTATGGATCTTTATTATTCCGGCTTTGTTGGGAATCATTTGGCTTCAGTTTTTGGTCATAAAAAACTATAGTTGTCTATACTATAACTAACTATGTATTTATTTATATGGGATAACTATACATCATTTTTTTTATTCTGTGGAAAATGAAAGATCGATCTGCTGGTCAGATTTAATAGCAATCATGAACACATTGTGGATTGTATAGGGAAAATATAAAAAAATGGCTGTGTCCCATTTCGATCACAATCAATCCCCCCAATAACTAACAAATAATTAACAAAATGACTTTTTAATCCTTCATTACTTTGACATGGTGGTGTATAGTTTTGTATGAAATTATGTATGAAATGTAACCTGTGAACTTTCTGTTGTGTTTTACTTACTCAGGTGGTGAGAATGGGGAACTTCATAACTCAAAGCTAAAGTGTGGTAAAGGTAGCTGATTCTTTATTTTTTCCAGGCTTAAGAATTCATGAGACATTTCCGTTAATTTTTTTAGGGACATGTTTAGCCTAGGATACATCGTGAATTTGTTTGCATTTTGTCGGAAACCCCTCATGGCAGACATAAATTTATCCTGTTTTAATCATAGTTTAAACTGATTTAACTAATCCAGGGTTAGCCAGGGTTAAAAATAAAGATATGCAATGCATCTCTGATTAATCATACAGTTTAAACCAGAGTTAATTTAATCCATGTTGGTGCAACCCAGCCCAGGTGTTTTTGTAGAGGGTGTGAGAAGGTTATTCTCACTGTGGGCCTCAGAACACAGTAATACACAGCAGAGTCTGACAGCTGCACATTCTGTACTGTTAAAGGTACAGTTTTTGCATTTGTGTCAAAACTGGCATTAAATCTCTCCTTAAAATCTGGAGCATTTTCCCCAGCTCCTGAGCCATACTGTCTCAGCAGGTACTTGGGAGACTCATTGGGATGCTGGATGTACCAGAAAAGATATGGAAACACATCAGTAGTGTCAAATTTACAGCCGATAGTCACTGATTTTCCTTCATATGCAATCACGTTTCCTCTGGTTTGTTCTATTCTATCTTCAGCTCTGCAGTCTAAAGAAATAACAGAAATATTAAGATATTAAAAACATAAAATTATTACAAGCAGACAGGTTAAAATAATCAGCAATGAACATGGGAACAAATCGTACCAAAAAACAAATGAGCGAAAATCAGAAAAATCCACATCCTTTGCACCATGACTGAGTTGTAAAGACAATAAATTATAGAAATCTACAGTATGTATACTATGGATCAGGTAAGCAGTCTGTCTGGTTGTTGCTTCCAGAGTCTATATGCTGTTGTCTCTCCAGTTTCAGGCCTTATGGAGGTGCTTATATGAGAAGAATAGATGGTTGTGCTACAATGTCGCCCCCTGCAGGAATTGCATAGAACAACATCCTTAGATTTGCAAGAAATTTACCTGTTTCATTTATTCCTCTCACACCTGGAATTTTAAAAGCTGATCTTTATGTAACTTTACTTTATAACAATAATTAAAAAAAAAAACTAAAAAAAAAACAAACTAATTGGTTTTATTAAACCAAGAATAACATTTAAGCATTTATTTAATGACGATGCTTTTGAAGCTGTTTAAAAGGTGACCTGTGAAGGTTATGATAACTTTAATAATAAAGTTAAATGGCTTCTCCATGTAAAACTGGGCTGAATAGAAATGAACTCTGGTGCTGACCCTGCTCAGATGAGTTTTGCTTCCAGATATGTTTTAGTGAGATCAAAAAATGTCACATGACCTGTGTTGGCTGAATACACATTATGTCTCTTTTACATTTCCCATAAATCAGTAGGCTTTTTTTGTTTTATTTTCTTTTCTTTTTTTCCCGAAGGACCCCCTGTGAAACATGGAAAACATGTCTGGGCCCCCCTACACAGGTTATGGTATTGTTTCTCTTGTATGCGTTCTGCAATGATGACAAAAATTAAATAATGATAAAGTAGAACAATGCTACTTTATTCATCCCTTTTTGCCTACCTCATCTTTCTCTGTCACCCACGTGCAGCTGAGAGGAAGCTAGGCAGTGTAGAGTAATCACCCATGTAGCTGGGGGTTAAGGGCCTTGCTCAAGGGCCCAGAGATGTGACTATTCTGTCAAGGGTGGGTTTGTATGTACGTGTGTGTGTGTGTGTTTGTATGTATGACTCACGGGTATATATGGTTCATCTGTGACATCACATCAGGCATATAGATTTACTTTATACATTTAGGATCATTTTTAGATTATTTTGTTTTGTTTTTTACTTCTGCAGTATACTTTGTTGATAGGAGCCTGCATGCACTATGTTGTAAAGAAATGTCTTCACACAAACATTGATGATGACTGTTCTGGGACATTAGTGTTTCGAAAGGTCATGAATAAGAAGAGTGATCGCTGCTGTATTCCTCTCAGGAATATAGAATGATCTTATGTTAGCCTTGTCGACTCACCAGAAGCATGAATTATCTTCACTGTTACCCAATAGGCTGGACTGGAACCAGGAAATATGTACACAACCTGCCAACAGTATTTCCTTTTGTGGTAGACCTCAGTGTTTTTCAGTTACCCCATCAAAGTAAATTGTGTGTAAGCAGGTGAAGCAGGTTTTTGTATGAGCTCTAGCCTTAATACATCACTGTGGCTCGCAGAGCACAGTAATAGACAGCACTGTCTCCTAGTTGGGCATTTGAAATGGATAAAGGGGCTCTTCCATTTGTGACTTCAGAGTAGAATCTCTGTTGAACAGTCCCTGACCCACTGTACAGTATAAACTGGGGTGCTGTTCCAGGATACTGATGGTACCAGTAAATCCGAAAGGTACTGCTAGTTGTACTGAAGATACATTCCAGTGAAGCCGTCTCTCCTTCCCTCTTTGACATTTCTGTCTCCTTCTGGTCTATAAAATCCCCAGAGGATAAACCTGTCAGCAGTGGATAAACCAATACAAGTGATTACTGATGGGCAAAGGAACACTGATAATGAAACTACCATCCAATACTGACCATGAGGTTTCACATACTTACAGAATGTCATGGTTAGCAGCACTGCTACAAGAAGCTGCATCTTCTCATGTGACGTTAACATTGTCACTCCTGGAGGGTAGATGACTTGAAGCCAAATGTAGCCTCAGTTATCTGTGGGGATTTTTGGGCTGTGATGTGGGAGGGCTTAGGTCACATAGCTTTAACTATAAGAAATGTCTGTTGATCAGTGTAAGTGGGTTCTTGTTGTCTGTAAATTTTCAGAGAAGCTGCATTTTTGTACCATCAGACACACACTCTGTGTCACTGTGGGCTGCACTGCACAGTAATACACAGCTGTGTCTTCTGTCCTTCTGTCACTAATGGAGAGGCTGGTCAGATGTTCTTTTCTGTCCACATCCATTGAGAATCTTCCTTTAGGAAAATCTGTATCATACCCATAAACGACAGGTTCAGGAGCTTTATTTGGATGCTGTACATATCAGTTCATAGAATTCATGTTTTTAATATTATGGTTGCATGTCAGTACAGCTTTGACTGCCTCTATGGAATTAATTAATCAAAGGAGGCTGATCAACTTTATCTGCACCTACTCCTACTGCAAAACAAAGAGAGAAATTATACTGCCCATTAAACAATAGATTACATAATTATGTTTTTACCAGAAATCGTATTATATACAGACACTCCTCTACTTACAAACAAGATACGTTCTGAACAGCTGTTCGTAACTTGAAATGCTCTTAAGTTGTTATTCAACATCATTTTAAAGGTATATACAAGTACAAAGAACTAGGATGCTGGGAGTACGCAGGCTACGCTGCTGCACGGCAGGAGTAGCGGGCAGAAGCCGTATTCGGCAGAATTGGCGTGCAGAAAAAAAAATTTGATGTTGCGGACAGGAAACGGGAGCCCAACAAACACAATTTGGACTTAGAGTCCTCTTTGTTCATATGTTTGAAAGTTGAAAATTCGTAAATAGAGGAGCATCTGCACTTACAGTGGAGTACATTAGTCATTATCATTATTATTATTATTATTTATTATTATTATTATTATTGAAACATGTTATCAGGTACAGATGAGCTTTGACCAAGACAACAGTCTAGCTGCTGTACAACTGATTATATCTGTATGTTATAGAAATGTAAAAAAAAATTTGTAAGAAACACACGACAGTCATGAGAAATACTTGCGATGCTGAGTTTATTACGGCAGTGAGGCAAACAAGCAAAGTGGGGGCAGAATTGTGGTGGAAGAGGCGAGCTGGGTCTGAACCAGAGAGGAGGGAACACAGTGATCAGAGGAGAAGTTGGAGTCCGGAGTCAGGAGAGTGGGGTCCCCGAGAGTGCCCCCCCCTGCCCCCCAGATCTCCTCACCCACCTCCCTTACATAAATATGCAGTGAGGTGCAGTGTCTGCATAAGTTTAACCTTTATACATTTTTTTCAGTGGTGAACATTATGCTCAAACACGACGGTCATTAAAAACAGAGGATATATTCAAATTCAATTTTCGTATTCAAAGAAATCGTCAGAATATTTTTATTTTCATTCCAATTGTATTTTTTTTACAAGAAAAAAAAATATATATAGTGATTGATACAGGTAGCATTTCTAAAGGTAACTTTTTTATATAATTATGCTGGTACATGTAACTATTCTATTTTCTGCACATTAATAATGTTTTACAATTTTGTTTTATTATTTGAAAGAATTATAACTTATCTAAACTTGTGTAAGAACCTTTCACTCTGTTATGTCACAGTCATATTGCACAGGTGTTTTTGTAGAGGGTGTGAGAAGGTTATTCTCACTGTGGGATTCAGAGCACAGTAATACACAGCAGAGTCTGACAGCTGCACATTCTGTACTGTTAAAGGTACAGTCTTTGCAGTTTTTTCCAAATTGGCATTAAATCTCTCCTTGTACTCTTCAGCAATATCATCTAGATCATTACTTCCTCTTCTCAGCATGTACTTTGGAGCCTCATTGGGATACTGGATGTACCAGAAGAGGTAGTAGGTGCCGGACCAGGTAGTTTCATAGTTACAGTTAATTGTCACTGATCCTCCTTCAGACCCAAAGACATCTCCAGCAGTCTGATTCACTTTGTCTGCAGCCCTGCACTCTGTGGAAATGAGAGTGGAAGAATTAGGTAACACACCAGGCATCTAAAGACAGTATCAAAAAGTCATGAAAATTGTGAATTACCGGTAAATGCTGAAAAAATTAGAAAAATTCTCAATGCATGTTCCATAATTGGGTTGTTAAACTAAAAACACAGATGTATGTACACTATAAATTAGTTAAACAGTATTTCTGGTTGTTGTTTACAGTCCCTCTGCCCTAATATGCCTCATCAGGTCGCAAGGAGCTGCTTATATGACAGTGTTTGAAACTTATATAGAACTGCTCACATAACAGGAAGTTTGCATGTTCTTGCTGCAATGTTGCCCCCAACAGGCAAAACGTGAAACTGCAGCCTCAATCTTCCAGAACACCATCTCCATGTCATTACAGATGGTGAACGCCAAACAAGCTGAACATAATGAAAGCTTTACATGATGTCATTAACACCATCACAGTCATATTTTCTTCTTGCTAACATGGATTTGTTTTTTTCCTGTCTGTGTTACTCCATTGTCTTCTGAGTGTTTTGAATAAGTTCATGTAATCTGCCAGACAGTGTCTCAGACCCTCAATATCCTCCCCATATGGGCCCTGTATTACACTCCAATCTGCGGATTCAAAGCAGTTTCTTAGGGGATCCTCAGCTTCAGGGGACCATCTCCTAAAGGAGCGTGTTCTAATGGGCTGCCTTTGCACCAGGGGGGTGTACAGCAGCTGCAGGTAGACTACGTTGTGGTCAGACCTCGCTAGAGGGGGTGGGGCGTGACTCTGTACACCTCCTGCATATTAGCATACAACAAGTCTATTGTTTTAGGTTTTTGGTTCTCTTGTTAAGCAGTCAACAAAACTGATCAAAACCTGTAAGAGTTCCATCCAGAGTAACATGATTAAAATCACCTGAGGTGACAATGAACGCCTCGGGGTTCTGTGTTTGGTGCCGCGCCGTCTTTGCGTGAATCGCCTCACATTGCCTCAGCCCGTGGCGGAACGTAAACACAGATGGTTATGACGCGACTGAACTCTCGTGGGAGGTAATATGGTCTAAGGCTAACAGCCAGCAACTCCAGATCCCGACAACTTAGGATCTCTTTCACGGAGACATGACTTGGTTTACACCGTCGATTGTTAATATATATTACAAGACCTTTCTCCGCATGCTTTTGTGTCTCTGCAGACCCTCACAGACCGTGAACGCCGGAAGATCCACAGTGGAGTCAGATATGCAGAGAGTTAGCCATGTCTCTGTAAAAATGAACAAGCTGCTCTCCCAGTATATCCGCTGGTTGTTCAGTGCTGAGAGCTCATCCATTTTATTTAATAAAAGCCGGAAATAAAAACAAACAAACAAACAGACAAGGAGCAACTGAAGAGGCTGCCGTCAAGACGGCGCCCATTAGCGGCAGTTGTCTTCTCTTGCTTTGAGCCATTTTTGCAGAAAGGGCACCATCTAGTGGGGTCAGAAAATACAGAAAATTCCTCATTCAGCTTAATTTGGCTGTCAGCAGTAATCACTATATCTCTGAATTGCTCATAGTGTCTGAGTGTTTCCTGCCCCCCTTATAATGCACTGACATCCTGTCTAGGGTGTAGCCCTGCCTCGTACCCTTGGCTGTCGGGGATAGACACTCCCCCCCAACCCCCCCACCTTTCATTGGCTGTCTGGGATAAACACTCCGCCCCCCCAACCCCCCACCCTTGAGCTGATATAAGATCATAAGCTAGATCATATTTCTATGCACTTATTGCTGTAACTGGAATGAAATACACAACACTGCAGGTCTGAAGAGGTCTGGTTTATTATGCTTTAAAATAAATTTACTTTCATGAGTGAAAAGCATGAACTGCTATCA